ACATGTGCTATATTGTACACACACAGATACAGGAGTCCGTATTTATAAAGACACCTTTAAAACGGACCAAATATTTAAGAACATATAGCAAGGTAATTTGAATGTTACACATTTTCCAAGTGGGAGATTTTATCACTTTCCTCAGAATAGTAATAGTACCTAACATCCTTTCATGTCTGTACCACATTTTTAAAAAAAAAGTTTATTTATTGGGCGGCCCGGGTGGCTCAGTTTGTTAAGTGACCAACTTCAGCTCAGGTCATAACCCGGGGGTTCAAGCCCCTCATCGGGCTCTGTGCTGACAGCTCAGAGCCTAAGCCTACTTTGGATTCTCTCTCTCTCTCTCTCTCTCTCTCTCTCTGTTTCTCTCTCTGCCCCTCCCCTGCTCATGCTCTGTCTCTCTCAAAAGTAAATAAAACTTTAAAAAACATTTACTTTGGGAGGGAGAGAGAGAGAGAGAGAGAGAGCCTAGGGAGGGGCAGAGAGCAAAGAAGAGAGAGAATCCCAAGCAGGCTCCGTGCTGTCATCTAGGAATTCCATGCAGGGCTCTGACCTACAAAATGTGAGATCATGACCTGAGCCAAAACCAAGAGTTGGATGTTTAACTGACTGAGCCACCCAAGCGCCCCTATACCATCTATTATTCTTTTATTGCTCCTTTAGACACATGGAGTAGATGCCAGTTATCACATGAGGGAAAAATCAGGCACGCAGATTAGTTTAGTTCCACTTCTGGGTGCTTTTGCTCTGAACCATACTTATCAAGATGACATTCTTCTACTGCATATATGAATTATAAATTATACTAGATTATAAGGTTTTAAAGATGTGTGTAGCTAAGTGCTATAATGCTACCCCAAATAGCTGCCTGAATGAAGACATGTACTTTAATATAACACTTTAAAAAGTGTATTTTGTGAGATGGACTGTCTATTTTATGTACAATTACAAATCACTTTTATTTTTTCAGACTGTAAAGTAATTTTGAATACAGACTAATATTGGGAAAATAGTGAATAATGTTAAATTGTAGGGCAAATTCAGAAAGCCATGCTGTGATTTGAGCAACTATGCCTTCTTGTTTAAAATGCTGGTTTCTTATGTAGTATGGAACAATTCTTATTTCCTCTGAAACACTGATTATGCATATATTTGGGGGGGGAGGTTTTTTGTTTTTTTTTTTTTGTTTTAGTTTTAGCATCACGAATAATTCCAGGTTGGAATTAGAGATCATGTTTTGAGGACAGGAAAAAGCTTGCACATTGTATTGGAATTTTGATTTATTATATAATTATATAATTTAATATATATGATGTACTCTAATATTGTAATTTGGGCCTTAAAAATAATTTTCTACTTTGAAATTTCTCACCAATGACTCCTTCATTCACCTCTAGAACCATCAGCACTGGTTCCAACTCATTGGCAAGTGAACCAAATCTTATCTATTTCTCTCCCTGAATTGTGATCAGAGTAATTTTAAATACTTGCCTTGCAGAGGAAATAAACTCCTGCATTCTTAGGGAAAACTGTTCAACTGAAAGACCTGACAATGTAATTTTCAAATAAGTGTAAAGAGTTGATGGCTTAAATGAATGTGAATTCTTATTTACCTTTTACTTTGAGCTTGGCTACTATTTTCCATTAATAGCGTTTGGTACGTTAATTGCTTCCTTCAAGCTCCTGTCAGCTTTCTAGTAGGTAAGTGATACTCCCTCAAACCCCACTTTGGTATGCATTTGAAGAAACATAAAGGGTCAATCTAGGTTTTCCTAAATCTATGATTTGAGGATATGAGTTTATTAATTGCTTTATGTTTATATATCATTTCTGACTTTTAACCAAAAATATAATGAATTCAAGATAGTCATTATATGTCTAGATTAGTTGGGCATATTAGAGACTTTATGTATCTTCCATCATAGAAACTGAATATCTCCAAAAGAAAGAAAGAAAGAAAGAAAGAAAGAAAGAAAGAAAGAAAGAAGAAATAAAAATGTCTTCATAGTGGGTATGATCTTATATATGGAAAAATTCTAAGGAATCTCTAAAAATCTATGATTAATAAGTGAGTTTAGCAAAGTCACAAAATACAAGGCTAAAATTCAAAAATCAATTTTATCTCCATTCTAGAAACAATCAGAAACAAATTTAAAAATCCATACCACTTACAATAACTTGAAAAAACATGAATAGAGGTAAATTTAACAAACTATAGCCACAACCTTACACTGAGCACTGGAGCGTATTACTGAAAGAAAGTAAAGAAAACCTAAATAAATACAGACATGCACCATCTTCATGGATCAGCTCAATATTAGGATGTCAGTTTTCCACAAATGGATCTATAGATTCAAAGCAATCCCAAATCAAACATCAGTGGGCTTTTAAAAGAAATTGATAAGCTGACTATAACATTTATATTAAAATGCAGATAACTTATAAGAGTAGTCAAAATAATTTGGGAAAAGATACACAGAGTTGGAAAATTCACACCACCTAGTTTCAAGATTTACTATACAGTAATCGAGGCAGTGTGGTATTGGCACAAGGATAAATACACCAATAGAATAGATTGGAAAAGTCCAAAAATCAGCCCACAGGTATATAGTCAACTGATTTTCAACAAATGTGCTGAAGTAATTCAGTGGCAGTATTGAATAGTTTTTTCAACAAATGGTGTTAAAACAGCTGGTTATCTATTTGGAAAATAATGAAACTCTACCTTTATCGAATATCATGCATGGAAATTAATTTGAAAGATAATAAAGACATAAGATAAAATCAAAACATTAACACTTCTAGAAGAAAAGAAAAATAGGAAAAATCTTAGCTATCTTAAATGAGGCAAAGATTTCTGAGGAAACAAAAGGGACAAATCTTTTAAAAAATGATAAATTGGACTTCCTTGAAAGACACAATTAAGAAAATTAAGAGGTAAACCACAGATTGGGAGAAGATAATAAATCAGACCGACAGATATACATGCATTATTTGTATGTATCTATGTGTATTTGTTATTTAGAGTATAGATAGATGAGGATATGCATCCAGAATATATAAGGAACCATTACAGCTCAATAGTAAAAAGCCAGACAACCAGTTTTTTTTTTTTAATTGGCAAAAGATTTGAAAAGGTATTTCACTGGAAAAGATATATGAATGGTCAATAAGTGCATGAAAAGATACTCACATTATAATTGGTCATCAAAGCATTGGAAATTAAAACCATTATAAGGTTTAAAGTGTAAGGTTAAAAGACAAAACTAAGTGTTGATGAGGATGTAGAGCAACTGTAATTTTCATGCTTTGCTAGTAGGAATATAAAATGGTGCCACAACTTCGAAAACGCATTTAGCTATTTCTTTAAAAGCTGAGCATATACTACTATACAACATTAATTCCACTATTAGTTATTTGTCTAAGGGAGATGAAAATCCACGTCCCCACAAAGGTTTGCACACAAATGTCTACACTAACTTTGCCCATAATATCCAAAATGCAACGCGACTATCCATCAATAGAAGAATAGGTAAGCCAAATGTAGTACATCTGGTACCAGGAATAATAAAAAGGAATGAATTACTGATACTTGAAACAGCATGGATAAGTCTCCAAAACATTATGGGGAGCCAAAGAAGTGAGACACTCTGTGATTCCATTTTTATGAAACTATAGAAAAAACAAATCTAATATGGGCCCAGGGTGAGGAGGATTTACCAGAAAAGGAAATGGGATATTTTAGGTTGATAGACATTTTCTATATCTTTGTTGATGTGGTGATTACAGTTTTATACGTTAGTCAGACTTATCAAATTGCACCTTTAAAGTAGATGTATTTTATTATGTGTAAATTATAGGATGAATAAGGATGGAAATTAGAGAAGTTACAAATTCTACTTACAGTTGATCCCCTAGGAAAAAAAGTCAAGTGATAAATGAGCACCTGAGCAAGATTTCAGAATCCTGTTTGAAACTACATAAAAATACTGCTATAAAGGCAATTACTAACATCTAAGTATAAAAATCTTGACTTTTAGTGCATTTGTACGGAGAATGGTGGTATATTTCATTTAAACTTATGATCAAACATAGCAATCTATTGTAATCAGAGGAAAGCATCAGTTCTAAGTATAGAAACAAGATTAAACAAAGAGACACATCCAAAATAATGAAATTAAATGATATATAGCAACTAAATCTAAATCATGTGTACTACTCATATATTTTTAGAAAAATAGCCATATATTAGTGTGAAAAGATGTAAAGAAGTGAATATGAATTTGTTGAGCCAAACACATAGTATTGATAAGGATGTATCATAAGTAACTGTAGCTTGCGATAAGTAAATGACTTCCCTTCTTTTTACCTTATACTTTTTTTCTTACAGTAATTAATATGAACAGATATTTCCTTTGTCCCTTTATTTCTTGAAACCACACCCTTCCTCATAGCGCCTCTTTCTCCAAAAGTGAATTTTCAAATTTATCACCTCTCCTTTAGTTTTTCTTTTCTTTCCCCTTCTTTTTTGTATCTCCAAAGTTATAGTAACTTAGCAAAAGTTAATGCCCCTCTTCACTTACCCACCTAAGGCATGTTTTTGAAGCAGTTGTTGCATTGTAAAGAGGACAGTATTGTGGAAATGATTCTCAAGTCCAATTGTATGGGAAATTATGAGTTTGCTTCCACTTTGTAGGGCATCAAAAATGTATGAAGTACTGTAGAATGGATTACATCTCTTTTGTCTTCTCCCAAAGTAATTTGTTTATTGTCCTTTACCTTTCCCCTTTCTTTTCCTTTGGGCTGTGTCTGGAGTAACCTGTTCAGTTGCTCAGCGAACCTCCCCTTCCCGCGCAGGCATACCATTTAGAGTGCCTTGTGATATTATGTTCTTGAGCCTTGATGGACCATGATGAACTATCAAGCTTAGTTACTTTTTCTTAGCGCTCCTTTCTGCCTGGAGAGTCTTACTGTATTAGTCTCCTTTCACCTTCCTACAGATTTGTTATTGGGCGAGAAAAGCCAGGACAAGTGAGTGAGGTTGCCCAGTTGATAAGCCAGACGCTGGAACAAGAAAGGCGCCAGAGAGAGCTGCTGGAACAGCACTATGCCCAGTACGACGCCGACGATGATGAGGTAAGCGGTGCTTGCAAACATCCTTCCTGCCTTTCTTCCCACCGTGTTCCTACTTTACAAAACTCTTTTCCTGGAAAAAGTAGGATAGGTTCTTTGCAGTTTCTCAAGGAGAACGTGTCTACATTCAACTCCACAGAAAATAAATATTACTTACATTTGTTATTAACTGATGAATCAAGTAATGGTATCCTATTTACAGCATGAAGACTTTGGAGTCAAGGAAGTCCTCTTTGTGCTATTAAAAGAAATTCACTGAAACAAAAAAGAGCGAAAAAAACCAAGATGCGAATGGTAGCTGTCTTTATTGTTGGAATTTGGTGATGTTCTCTCTCTGCTTAGTATTTTTTTTGATTTCCCCCCCAATTTTCTACAGTGAGTTTGTAATGCTTTTTGAAAAAAAATGAGTAAACATTTTGATTGAAAAAAGACACACGCATACATACACAAACATACACAGGAAAGTACTCAAAAATGCTGAGTGTTTTCAGGTTTCTTTTTTCCAGGAGAAGAAAGGTCTTTGGATCTGCTCACTGTGATTTGTGCTAACATAATGCAGAACAAAGCCTTTCCACCAGCATATATTCCTTAGAGTAGATACATATTGGAATAATTTTGCATCCTGCTCTCTGTAGAAGATCAAGTAAATGAATAGAAGCTAACCCCCAAGTGAAAATGGCTCTCTGGAACCCTTGTGCGTTATAATGTAATGCAGATGCTGGTCTATTTCTAATGTAAATGCCAAATGTACATTGATATAATGGGACAACATGCTTTATTATAAACATGTTTAAACATGCATGTGTTTCATATTGGCATGTCAAAAAAAATCCATCAATAATTTAATCATAGTATTTCATACTCCATAAACAGTAAATATTCAGGTAAAACATATATTATTTATACCAGCTGATGTAAGGACAGTGCAACTTCTTATATTCAACCTCTGCTCATCTGAATATATTCTTTTTCCAGAGCTTTTTTTTTTTTTTTTTTTTTTGGTTTCTAGCCAGGACATAGTGAAGATTAATAAACAGGCATTGAAATTTTACATATTTTTAGTCTGGAATGGTTTAACCCAAATGTATATTAGTTTTTTATATGAGTGTAATTTAATGAGGATGTATTCTCCATTTATTATAGTAGAAAAGTAAAAGTGGTGCATCAGTTAACTTTTGACCAAAGAATAAACATTACAAAGTCTTCATGTGAATGAATTAGTCTCTTAGAATCTTATATAGTTGATTTAACTTTTCACTTTCAGAGTGCATTTGAAATGGCAAGTATTTTTTTTTATTCTGAGATATTACATATGAAAATGTTATTTTGGATTTAAAAATTAAAAAGCAAAAAAACCAATTTTGTCAGATATTTAAATTTTCATCTTACCTATTAGTCTTCAGTTCTCTGTGCTAGTGTTTTGTGTTTTATCAGAGACACCGATTTGGTTTGGCTGCAAGCCTGTTTTAGGATTGTAGAATCATTCTCTGCAGGTTTGGTTTTTACCTGCTCATTCTGCTAGAAAGAATTTGGAGGTGAGGTTCGGGGCAGTTCTGATGACATCAAGTTGGGGAAGACGAGGAAGTCAGGCTTCCCAGGCTGTGGTCCTCAGTATCTTCGGCTTTAAGAGATTGGGCTCAAATTCTGAATTCTTTCTAGCTTTTACTGGTCCATGAATCTGTGAAATAAAACATCAAGTCTAACAAGGAAAGAGGTAAAATAAGATAGCTCTTTAAGGCTCTCCTAGTGAAAACTTTAGATCATGTGCTACATATCACATACTTCCAGTTATTTTGAGGAACTGATTCCATTCAGCCCCAGAAGTTTTCAACTCAGGCCCCTAAAGCTGTTTGCTTGATGTTAGATTTTCTCCAATTTGAGTAAATGCAAAATGAGTGTTTGTTACTCAACTTTTATACCTAAGAGCACATCATAAAGATTTTTTTTTGTTTGCCTAGTTTTTTTTTAAAGAAAGCAAAGTTGATTGTCACCTGAGCAGGTATTTTTCAGGACTAAGGAAGGTAAATAAATATTCAGTGCCTGGCACTTTGCAAGGTGCATTTCCCTGGATGATTTCATATAATCTTTACAGCACACAGAAGAGACTTTTTTTTTTCTAAAAATGAGGCAAACAAAGCAAATGAGGCTTTTTCTAGTCATACAGCCAGTAGTTGGCAGATTTAGTATGGGAATAGAGTCTTCCTGTCTCCAAAGTTGGGACTTTTTACAACACTTTGCTGTTTTTGAATGGAGTGGGCTGATGGGTCTGTCTTTGTTCAGGCACACACAGAATAACTGGGGAACAAGAGATGTTGGAAAGAGGATTCCTGTTTCGAGTGATGGAGTTTCTTGTAATACTTAGGTTATGTGATTCTTTATTCCGTATTTCTAATAATGGGGGAATCAAGTGCTTGGAGAATTAATCTTATTCTAGGTAGATAATCCCTAAGTATCCTGTGAAGGCAGGACTTTAGAGAAGAATAATTGAGTATATGATTTTGTTTTTTAAATTAGAGTTTACCTCTAGGTTAAACTTTTTCTTTTGTCTTCAAGTTGTAGAAATAGAAATCAGATGCTTGCTACTATGTTATTCCAAGTAACCTTCACTTTACTGAAAAGGTCAAGGAGTCTTTTTCTTTGTCTCTTTCTCATGCTCCTCTCTGACTTATAATTCTCCCTTTCTTGTGTGTTGCCAAAACATGCTCAGTTAAAACCAACTGTTAATTTTCTGTGCATAGGAGAAATGAAGCTGTACAAATAATGAAAATCCACTCTTGCGTAAATATTTCATCTCCTTGATTTAATTTTTTTACTAATAGTACCAAATAGTGTTAAATCAATTTAAGTGGTATGCCCCTATTTTTTATTTACTCTCTCCCTCTTTGTTAATGAAAAGTAAAATGGCCAACAGACATAATGACGGTGAGAAGGACCAATATTGGTTATCCAGTGGGTTAATGGTCCGTGAATAACTGAGTTAATTTTATATGTAATTGAACAATGTATTGATTTACACATCATTGTTAATTCTGAATTGTGTAATCAATCACTTGGCTTCTCACTTTTCTTATCATTTATGGAATCATCTTGTGATTTCAAAGTTAGAATAATTTTTATTTCACAATATCCCCTGTGACATTCCCTGGGCCAGCCAGGAAAACCTCTAATTAAATGCAGGACAACCGAGTTCATCCAACTAATTTCCAGAGCCAGCGCTTAGATCAGCATTGTCTACTGAAGGATAGATAGCTTCTGGTTTGGGTCAAATCATCCAAGGTTGATTCTAACTTGGAACTTGTCACATTGACAGAGGGGAGTTGCTTGCTTGAATTGCCTATGGGGAAAACATTGCAATGTGAGAAATATATCCTGAAATTGTAAAAGTACAGTAGTTCTCTATCAAAACCATATTTAGGATTAAGAATACCTCATCATGCATAGTGTGTGCTTGCATATAGCTGTTTTAATGCTTTAGGAAATTATAAGTGGTAATTCAGCAGAATTCAAAATTTATAGATAATTCCCAAACTTTATTGAAATCTCTGCTCTTTATGATTTTTTCCCGAATATTTAAACCAGAAGAGTTTAAAGTAAGCAAACAACCAAATCAATTTTAATTTACATTCCTGTTTCTGGTTACTCTCTGTTAAACATTGTGATAAAATAAATAAATAAATAAAAAGGGCTCTGCCTGAAGAGCAGAGAAGAGTAAAAGCCTGAAGAGTAAAGGGCAGGATCCTGTAAAGAAGAGGAAGATTAAATCTGAATAATTGAAATATAGATCTGAATATATCTGTAATTAGCAACTGCATTTCTGAATAATAGAATTATTGTTCATTTCTTTTTCTTTCTTTCTTTCTTTAACAATCTGGAAGGTAACGATGGAGGATTTCAGTAAGCCCCTCACACAGTCAGCACTATCCCACGAAATTCTGGGGGTATGGTAAATTTTTCAACTAGATTTTAATTTTCAATAACAAATTTAATCTCCTGTCATACTCCACAACTATCAATGTCTAGCCTTTCAATGGTGGGATGATGTAATTTTGATATATCTTTTGTGTAACATGGGTCATGTATGTAAATTGTAGGTAGATGTTTCTATCCAAGATCACTATGCAATGTGAAATACAGTTGGGCTCAGACTAGAAATGAAGTATGAACTGGTGCTGTACCACTTTTTTAAATTAAGAAATACCTATGGTCGTTCACATTCAAATAAACTATTTTACATGCACTTTGCAATTATATGATTATTTTGGTTTGCTTCTTTAAATATACTCTTAAAATATTATGTTTATTACATTTTAAAATCTTAGATTATAGGTGTTATTTTCAGAGTCTCTTCGGGCAGTAGTTTATAACAAGGTTAATCATCACTCTAGAAACCGAGGCTCCTTCTCTTAAAGCATAATTTAATCTCACTTCCATAATTTTTTTCATTACTAGAATTAATATCATTATAGCTATATCATGAGAACAGTAGTTTAGTTTTTAGAATCTTTTAAAGTACTGAATATGATTTAGAGCAGCTGCCTACATGGATATGCATTTTTATTGCTTGTGTTAACATTAATAACATTAATAATTAGAGACAGAAATATAGTAGAAGCTATGGTTTGCATAAGTGTTGAATGATTTATAAGAATATAATTTTTAGGTGAAAAGTATTACAGGGATAACATTAAATTTGACTCCTGCTGTTTGCTGTTCCTGGTTGGAAACAGCTTATGTTGTGTGAAAAAGAGATTGCAATTACTATGGATGGCCTTTTAATAATGTGGATTGAGTTTATACTGTTCTTAATGTTGAGAACCTATGAGTGGGGGGCATTCTCTCAGTTCTCAAACGTTTGTGTTATAACAGGCACCAGAACTTCAGTGTTTTTTCTGTCCTTTATCATTAGGCTGCTCTCTTTAATAGGGAAAAAGCCTTCTTTAATTTTTGTTGTCAACTGTTTTAGAACACTGTGGCTGAATTGCAAGGAGTGTCTGGCAACTGCAATAACAATAACAACTATTTCCTTAAGGTTTGTTTTTTTTGGTGGAAAATAATGCTTACCTGTACTTTTCTGCTTCCTGTGTGAAATTAAATATTCTATGTGTCTTATTAACTAGCTGTGTGCTCAGAAGAACTCTAGAGCCGTGTGTTTTCTATGTTGAATGATAGTTGGAGAAATTATCATTTGAAAAATAATATTTAATTCTGAAATATAGCACGTATTACAGGTACAGGTTCTGCAAGTTGGAGTCAATCCTTAACGTTTAACCATGGATGTTTTTAACCCTTAACACTTTAAGTATTTTGTAATTTATATTAAAGGGGAAGAAAAAGATACCCAATAACAAGGCTGTATAATGTTTATACAATACAGTGTTTTTAAATCCAATGTTGTTATTTTAGAAAATAATCTTTGGATACAGAGTTTTTAATTTTTCAAAAAACTAAATGCACAGTATCTTTAAATTATACAAGTACTTATTTGCATGATTTACACAGTGGACATAGGAAAATGTCTAAAAAAGTATTACACTTCAAGTGACAAAATAATTCTCACTATCTTTAGCTGCTAGTAACAGAAATGGGAGAGCTTAAAAATGGAAGTCAAGTATGTTTAAAGTGGAGATTGGATTATGGTGATAAGAGGAGCCTGAAGAATAGGAGAAATATAAGACCTTTTTAACAACTTGTTTATAGACTCCAATTTGGATCTTTAAAACCATTAAATTTCATTACACCCTTTAGTTTGTGATCCCCAAATCTACAGTACTGGTCGTTGTCATTGAAACCTAGAATCATAAGATGCTTGGAAAACATTTAGATGAAGATTGTATCCATACTTGATCTAGCCTAAGCAGTGTAAACGTATACACACACACACACACACACACACACACACACACACACCATCTCCTGGAGTTAGACATCCTCCTATACTCGAAAGATCTTCTTTAGAAATATATTCTTTGTATGTGAAAAAATTATTATTTATAACATTGAGCACAGACAGGAAGATGGATGGTGTCAAGGGAAGATAGAGGTTAAAATAGAAACCTTTGCCTAAATATTGTCATCTTTTTTGTAGCTTATTTTCTTTATTTTATCATAATGCAAGTGATTTGAATATCTTCATGTTATTTTCTTTCCGACTATCACATTGTGATGATATTTATTCATGAGTGAGTTACAAAATACTAAATAAACTCTGTCAAATTTTCTATGCCATTAAATTCCTCTGAGAATATAGACTTTGTACATCCTAGAAATCATGCTAGAACAATTCTATAGTACAATGACGAACAGGCTTTGCAGTGTTAGAGATGTCACAGAAATAACAGGAATGACAATATTTTTCCAACTTTAAGAATATTTGTAAGTTGAATATAATTTTATACCAAAAAGTTATAGAATATAAAAAGGCACCCCTGGAGATGGGCCTTATCAGCCTTACTGTCCAGTGGGCCCGAGGGATCCTGTGGCTTCGCCACGCCTCTGCTCCTTCTCTCTTCTCTTCCTGGAATGCCATTCCCTGCACTCATTCTTGGTTGCCCTTGTATGCCCGGTGATCCTGTTTACTTTTCAGGGCTCAGTTTAGGTTTCATGTGTCTTCTCTACAAAGCCTTCCTAGACTGTCTCAGCTGGGCTGGGGCCCCTTTTCTGTATGAGTCAATAGTACTGCACATCTCTCTCTACCATTATTTACCCATAAATATCCCCCACTAGTTTATAATCTCTTCAGTAACAGGTTTCAGTAGCTGGTTGATTTTTAATACATACCAGCCTGAGCCTAGCGCTGGGCAGATTAGAGGAAGCCAAGAAATTGAACTGAATTGAATCACTCAAAGGATATTAAGATGAAAATTGGAGAATAGAGTTAAATGAGAATAAAATTTAGTTAGGAGCATAATCTGAAATAAGGAGGCAAGACTGGCGTAGAGTACATGGGAAAAGGATTGTCAAACCTGGCAAGACTAGAGATTAGAGATAGGGACTGAGGAATAATCTGTACTTGTCCTTTGGTATTTGGGATTTAGCACCTTTCTGTGGGATTTTACCTCCACATTTTAATTGTTTTGAAAGAACGTGAATTTGCAAGAAGACCTTGTCTCTATCACACTGCACCAAAATTGCACATAAAACCAGAAAAAAAATGAATATACATACTTCATTCCTTGAAAATCTTTGGACTTCAGCAGTAAGAATTTGGTCACTCACATTGACATGACTTCTTTTTAGTCATAACTGCGTAAACATACAATAGAAACAGAGTGGTTGAAATGGCCTAAGTGACGTCAAGATCAATATTGCATAGATAGCCATCTTCTCTTATTTTGCCCAATAGCCATCAATCATAGAAATCTCTTTTCTTCAGCAGTAAGAACTAAGTGGTAGCCTGGACCAAAGACCAGTATTTCGAAGCAGCTTTATTATGGAGTTTAGTAGGTCTGATAAGTATTACATTTATTTTAAGCTGATACTGATGCATCAGTAAGGGTAGTCGTAAAAACTCTTGATGGATTTCTGAAATTCCAGGTCTTAAAGAGATTAAAAAATTATCTTATTGACATAAAATTGACAGAGTAAAATGTATGGATCTTTAGTATATAATTCGACTTTTTATCATTATATATTCATATTTCATATATTAGCGTCAGTGTTAATGAGGGATAATTTATATACAATAAAATGCACCAATTGTAAATGTATTTATGTAGATAGGCAGTTCCATGAATAACCACCACCACAATCAAGATACATAACATTTTCATGACCTCAATAATTCTCTTATAGAACTTTGCAGTTACTCTCAGCCCAAACCAAGTATCTATCTGTTTTCTAACGTTATAGATTAATTTTGTCAATCCTAGAATGTCATTTGAACAGAATCATAAAGTACACACTTCTCAATATCTGGCTTCTTTCACTTTCATAATGTTATATTTATTGTAAGTATTCTGCATATTATGATGAGACTGTAATTGATACTGCTTTGAGTTACAGTAGACAAAGCCCAGGGCCTACCCAAAGTGGGATGTCCAATTGGAAACCCCCATCGTGAAGCTTGAATCCCACGGGCTTCACTACTATATAAGATGAAAATAAAATCTAAACTCCACTATGTGAGAAACTGCCTTGTTAAACCTTGGTGCTGGATAGAAGGGAAGAAAAAATTTTTCCTGAGACATGTTGATCACAGCAACCTGAATTTATGCTACCTTTAAGAGAAAAAAAATACCCTTTATCGAGTATTCATCTTCAATCAAAGCCTAAATGTTAAAATTTCAAAAAAATGAGCTTACAGTTTCAAAGTACAAATCACCATGAGTAACAGACAACAGAAGAGGGTGGGTGCAGGGAGGAAGTAAAAAGGGAAGGGAGAAAAAAGGAGAAAGGAAAAAAAGAGAAGATCCCAATTATTTTATCAATTATACCAAACTGGAACCGGTGTCTCCAGTCCTGTATAACTTCTTCCAGAGGACAAAAATGAAAGTAGAACAACTCTGATACTAGGAATATAGTAAAACCTTGAGGGTGTGAGATGTATGAGGTAATGAGGTATAACCTTGGTACCAAACCATATAATGATGATAAAGAAGACTTACAGGCCTATCCTATTCATAAAACAATGCAAAAAGAAAAAGCCTAAATAAGATACTGACAAATCATATCCAAGAACATTTAAAAGAGAGATTATGGTGACATAGAGTTTAGCCAGTAACGCAAGTATGGTTTCATATTTGAACATCAGTCACTACTTGCATTTGACATCATACTAGAAGGCGAGAAGTAAAAGAAATACATTGGAAAAAAAGAAATACATTGGAGAAGAAAAAATAAAACTTTTTTTTAAGTTTTATTAATTTATTTTTTGAGAGAGAGAGAGAGAGACAGTGTGAGTGGGGGAGGGGTAGAGAGAGAGGGAGACAGAGAATCCCAAGCAGGCTCCGTGCTGCCAATGCAGAGCCCAATGTTTGACTCAAACCCACGAAGCCACGAGATCATGACCTGAGCCGAAACGAAGAGTCTGACACTTAACCAACTGAGCCACCCAGGTTGCCCCAAGAAATGAAACTGTTATTATTGCAGGTGATGTGATTATCTATTTGGAAAACCTCAAATATACCTAAAGATCAATTACTAAAATTATAAGATTTTAGCAAATTTGCTGGGCATATAATTAATATAAAATATAGCATGTATTTCAATGTGTCTACAGAGAGAGGATATAACTTATAAATTATTAATTCCTTTGGTAAAAGGCAAGACCTTGCCTAATAAAACATAGGCAAGACCCTCAGGGAAAAATTTTATTGAAATATATTAAAGAAGGCTTATATGAAAGGGAAAAGAAGCCTTATTCATGGATTAGAAGACTCAGTAGTTTAATTGAGTCAATTTTCTCTAAGTAGATTTATACATTCAATGCAATGCCAGTGAAAAGAATTGTAAAGAATTTAAAAATAGAATTTGGTAAGCTATTGCTACAATCCATAGGAAATCCGAACAATGCACCAGGAAAAAAAAGTAACATTTCACATGCTTTAGAAGAGAGATATTTATTACTAAGCTGTAGAAATTTAGTCCCTGGAGCAAAAGAAGGAACAAGTTGGTCAAAGAGTCCGGAAGCAGTCCCTCACATACATGAAAATTGGATTAGTCATGCAGATCACACTCCAGGTGAGCTGGGGAATGTTAGGCTTCTTAGTGAAGAGAAAACAGTGTAGTTGCAATCCCCAATCTCAGTCTGTATCTAAAAATTCACTCCAGGTGGATCAACTATTTACATGCAAAAAGAAAATTTAGAAGACACTGTAGAAGACTATCTTTATGACCTCACTGTAAGAAATGTTTCTACACAAAACGCCTAAGAAAGCAAAACTGTAAAGGAAAGGATTGAGAAAATTGTATTAAAATTCAGAACTTCTGTTCATCAGAAGAATACCTTTATGAAAGCAAAAAGGCAGACCAGAGGCTGGAAGAAAATGTTTGAAAAATAAATAAGTGAAAGAGAGTGATATAAAAAGTACTTCTGTGAGCCAATAAGAAAAGAATAGCATTGGCTTTAATGATCATGTCATAGAAGAGGAAACCTCAGTGGCCAATGAACATATGAAAAGATGCCTGAACATATTAGCAATCAGGATGTAAAAATTAAAAACCAAAATGAAATACCATTTGATAGCTACTGAATTGATTTAAATGGAATATTTTAAGTTTTGGTGAGGATGTGGAGTAAAAGGAACTTTTATTCTCTGCACACAGGAATATTCATCGGCCCGTCCACCTTGAAAAACAATTTGACATTATCTAGTAAGGTTGACTTCTTCTAAACACTTAGTAAAAGTCTTATATACATGAACTGTAAGAATTGTTCTAATACTTTTCTTATAAGAGAAAAAAATTGGACACAACTGCTATCTCTACCAACAAGAGAATGGGCAAAAATACTGTGGTGTATTCTTACAGTGGAATGATGTACAGAAGTGGTTTCAGCAATCCCATGGCAACTGGTAGAATCTCAGGGACATACCATTCAGCATAAAAAAGGCACAGAAGAATACAATAGAATTCCACTTATATGAAGCTTAGAACCATTAAAAACAAATGATACATTGTTTTGCTATATGTAAATATGATAAAACTGAAGAAAAACCAAGAATGATAAAATCCAGCAGGATTACTTTGAAGGGCAAGCAACTAAAACAGGAAAGCACACACAAGAGGACTCTACAATGTGGTGATACTGCTCCTTTTCTTGTACTGGGTTGTTCATTGGTAGTGGTTTTATCTTTATTCATATACTGTCTATATGTTTTGTAAATATTCTGTCAACTCAGTATTTAATGAAAAATTAATATCTGCCATGGACAGTTCTTGCATTTAGCCGTTATATGGATACAAAATGACTCCGACCTAGTTCCTGCTCCCCAGCATTTACAAAATAACCCTACAACTCTGTCTCAAACTTGCCTCAATGTGACAATCTCATGGTACTTCTTTAAAATTACACATTTCCCCACCCAGCCTCAGACCTAGTGAAACAGAATATGCATTGTAGCAGGCCTCGGATTATGGGCGTTTGTGGGAAGGAGTTAGCTGTGATCATAGCTGGAGTTGTCCAGCCTAAAGATGCCAGGAAAACTGACCTTTGAGTCCTGGTGTTGCAGGACTTTGTCAGAAAGAATTGCTGCCACGAACCACCAGACAGCCGTGAGGAAAGGAGTAGACTTATTCTCTCTGAAAGGAAATTGTAAAATCGAGATAGTGTTTATCATCAATTCATAGGTAATCCATAGAAGTGCCATCAATGATGTTTGTATTGATTTTACCTTTTCATTTCTATAACTCCTGGTTAGCATTTTTGCAATCATATGCATCACTTTGTATTTTCCAAGATTCAATTAGTTGTAGAATTATAGAATTATTAAAGTAATCGTATAACATGTGCCACTTTGGTTCCTGTAGTTGTTCTCTTCTGCAGATTATAAATTCAGGGAAATACAAATCTCTCTGTCCCTTCCCACAGTTCTGCTGGCATCAGAATAAGCGCTTCATTGTTTCCTTGGCAAGTAAAATGAAACTCAAGGAAGGCTGCCAATTTGAAATTGCAGTGTGACATTTGAATTACAGAGGTCTACTTTGGTCTGTTGACTGTTTAATTCTGGATCTCAGTGGGAAAAATAGGAATCTTTAGTTCCCTCCTCATATAGAATATATTTATCAGGGACTTAAAGACAGTGGCATTATATATTAGTGAGTAGGTAGCATTTGTTAAGAGGAATTGAATTAGGAATATTGACTCGTGGAAAAATATAGTTTACACTCCCAAGAAGCTCACTATTTTGTTTTGGAAACAGTAAATATATATGGTAAAGAATTTAAAGCACCTTCAAGGCAACATGTCAAAAGGCTAGATAAGCATAGTGTAAAAGAATCATCACAGTGAAGGATGTACAAAATAAAAGTATGAATTTAGATTTGTGGTGTTAATTTTTATTTGCAAGAAGTTTTTTGTGGTTTTTCTTTGTTTTCTGTAACCTAGAAGTTGGGTCAATATTGGATATGTTCAAGAAGTAAAAAGACCAGTTTACCTGCAGGCAGAGTATGTGGAAAGGAATACTAGTTGGACCGTCTTTAAAAAGGTAAATTGGACAATATTTTAGGGACTTTAAAAATCAGCTGAATTTCTAGACTTTTTTCCCCATTAATAATTGGGACACAATTCTCCATGAGACCTTCATATTTCTGAGGCACTGAATGCCCTTTGTTCTGGACTATCCAGTGTTTGTGTAGTGAACAGTCTTAGAAGGTACAGGTAGTCTTCTCCCCTGGAGCAAGGGTGGTAACGTTGCCTGTTATAAAAGATGCAGGTTACCTAGCTCAGGGTTCCTCTCCACACACACCTGCTTATGCAGGTATCATCCAGCCTTCTTCTCAGCACTCTTCGGAAATTGGGGTTTGAGGAATCAGCACAAAAATATGGCTGTGTCAACTAGTACAAAGACCTATTCTGGGTTAGAAGAACGTTCTGACCTTGGTCGGACCACAGTCCTAGAGAAACACACTGACATCTAGCTTGAAAGGAAGGGATTTTCAATTGTCACACTCAGGAGCCTGGGAAATCCTTAGAGCTTTAGTGAGTTCAGTGTGGAGGTTATGAAGCAAGGCATATTATGCTAATTAAGGAGAAATAGCAACAGTCGGGCTGCCTCGTGACTCAGCCCCTCCTGCAGTTTATTATGCCAGCTGTAGTCATTCAGACAGTACAAGGTCTCAAAGTATTTTGTGGTGCATCTTAGTTGCTATAAAGGAATATCAATATTGTCCCTGTCAGGGAGAGATCTTTGAGACAGACAAACTCCTATGGAAAATCATCCATAAATATTTGGATCCTAACTGGTCTACCATGCTGATGAAAGTAACCTGCTGGAGAATGAGAAAGTGTCCCACAACAATCTAGCTAAATTCTTTTTTTTTTTTTAATTTTTTTTTTAACGTTTATTTATTTTCGAGACAGAGAGAGACAGAGCATGAACGGGGGAGGGTCAAAGAGAAGGAGACACAGAATCTGAAACAGGCTCCAGGCTCTGAGCCGTCAGCCCAGAGCCCGACGTGGGGCTCGAACTCATGGACTGCGAGATCGTGACCTGAGTTAAAGTCGGACGCTTAATTGACTGAGCCACCCAGGCGCCCCAACTAAATTCTTACAGTCAGTCTCACCACGTTGGAAAACTTCCCCATTCCTTATGTTCTAAGCAAACCAAACTTAGGATTGGACTCCAGGTTGAGATAGCACCCATAACAGTTCCTGCTATGGGAGTCAAAACTGTGACTGCTGGGTCAAAGACTCCCCAAAGCTAACTGGGTTGTATCAGTAATGATATACAGCGCTTTACATATTGCTTTAGGTGGTAGACATTGGAAGATTGGTTAAACCAGGAGTAACCACCGCACTGCTCAAAACTGAAAATAAATGTGCTTTATTAGTGACACAGGGCTGCCCTCTGCCTCTACGCCCCTTGATACCTCCCCTTTCTAACACGAACTCAGCTGCTCTAAGGAGGAAGGTGATTAGGGATCAGGCTGAGATCTCTTTTGTCCTCCAGGGAGACTAAATGCTGTATGAACCCCTTGAGTATGCTGGGGAACTTTGGGAGGAGAGGCACTCAACCTCATGGTTCTGTGGATACTGGCTCACAAATCATCACCTCACCGATGCCATCATGAGAAAGGATGACCAAATTCAACTGATGTGGTTTGGGCAGAGTTCACAGTGGGAAGGGAAACAAAACGGCCTTGTGGATGGAACCCATGCAACATAATACCACTGTGGCTTCCACTGCTATATGTGTAATGGAACTGATATGTTGCACATACACCTGCCCTTCTTTGTCCCATTAGTGCCACCGGATATATTACTATTCAGGGATTGCCACATGGAGAACACTAATAGTAGCATATGTAGGCCACTCTCCCTGTTTCCTCCCAGACGGTCCAACAGGAACAGTATAGAATCCCAGGCAAAGAAGGAGCAACCACAGCTTATTTAAACATGTAATGGCTGCCAGACTACTCAGCCATTTCCCAGTATAACAACACGGCACATCTGATGCAGCAACTGAGAAAAGAAAAAAAAAAAAAAAAGTCAGTTATTAACCTTCTACTAAGCTCTTGTGGGAACTGAAACTACATGTCTGACCCATGGTGGCCTTGTGACCCTCTGGTCTAATAGTTTCAGTTTGAGGTAGGTCAGCTTGAACTCCCTGGTCAATAAAGTTGGAAAGACCCAACAAACCTGGCTTGTCAAATGGGAATGATAGATTCAAGAAAGCTACCAACCTGGCCCAGCAGCATCTTAGATTTACATGAACAAGTAGCAGCTTTCCAGTTTGTAGAAACAAGGCCTCTAGCTCAGTGAGGCCTTCAGTTCCTAGAAGTTTATTGAAATGCCTCGGCTTGGTTCACTAAGGGCTCAGCTAAGCTGTCCAAAGCTGTCTGCTAGGTTTTCCAGCCTCAGCACTAGTTATGCACACCCCAGAATGGACATGGTCACTTTGCTCAATGGGCATAACTCAAGGCCATTCTTTTGGCTCTGCCTAGTACTCCCCTTGATGAACCTTGTTATTATTATTTTTTTTTACTGACTCTTGAGCTGTTGTCCATTACCTGATTAGTCTGTCACTTGGAAAATTACAGACTAACAGGTTAAGTTTGAGATGGCAAATCATGGAAACAGATTGTGGCAATTGATCAGACTCTTTGAGTTGCTCACATAGCTTCACCACAAGGGTGGTCATAAGAGGCCTATGTATTTATTTTTTTTTAATTTTTTTTTTCAACGTTTATTTATTTTTGGGACAGAGAGAGACAGAGCATGAACGGGGGAGGGGCAGAGAGAGAGGGAGACACAGAATCGGAAACAGGCTCCAGGCTCTGAGCCATCAGCCCAGAGCCCGACGCGGAGCTCGAACTCACGGACTGCAAGATCGTGACCTGGCTGAAGTCGGACGCTTAACCGACTGCGCCACCCAGGCACCCCAAGAGGCCTTATGTATTTAAAGAAACACCATCATTATATCACATAACCCTTAGATGATTCTAGAGATCCTTCTAAAATGAGACTGTTCTTGATTACTAAGGGTTGCTTTCCTGAGTGGTAGCTGACTTATTTGTTATATGCATCGTGCAGGCAATTATTCTTAGGGTTAGACTCATTTAATTAGATAAGATGGTACAAAATTTGTTCCTGACTTTAGGTGATGTGATCAGGGACACCACCTCAGCCCTGGAAGGCATTCAGATCAATCTCAACTTGCTGGCCAGGGTTGTTATAAGATGATAGGATTGCCCTGAATCCTAGACTTTCTTCTGGGGGCCAATACCAAGTCTGGGCAATCACTGATACATCCTGTTATATCTGGACTAATACCTTAGGCCGAGTGAAATAAATAAAAAAGCTTAAGGATAGAGCCACCTGAGTTTCTAAGGTAAACACCAATGGTTTATAGGACTAATGTAGCCAGTAGGGTCTGAAAGCCTGGGGAATGTGGTTGATCTCAGTTACTATACATTGGACTCATTCTGCTGCTTGGAGTTCATTTAATAGTAATCTTAGGGGCACCTGGGTGGCGCAGTCGGTTAGGCGTCCGACTTCAACCAGGTCATGATCTCGCAGTCCGTGAGTTCGAGCCCCGCGTCGGGCTCTGGGCTGATGGCTTGGAGCCTGGAGCCTGTTTCCGATTCTGTGTCTCCCTCTCTCTCTGCCCCTCCCCCGTTCATGCCCTGTCTCTCTCTGTCCCAAAAATAAATAAAAAACGTTGAAAAAAATAGTAATCTTAATTATATGAAACGACTGAATGGATTTAGTCCCAACCACTTTGGGTCACACTGATCAGTGTAGCTGAGAGAGAATCATACTAATGGGAAAATTCACCAAAAGCCAAGATGGTATAGAAACAAGAATAGATATTATTGGGGACAGTTCCCCAGTGGGCCTGACTTCTCTGTGTGTCATGTGAGCAGAGGCACTGATAGCCTTTCTTTCATACTACCTTTTTAATGATGTTTGTATAGTGAACAGCCTTGGAAAATAGATAGTCTCTCTTTAGGGCATGTGAAAGACTTGCTTATTACACATTATTAAAAATATATATATGTGTTCCCTAAGTTCAGAATTCTTCTTTTGGGGGTTATATTTCATTTTTTTCAATAAATGCAATTATAGTTAGAAACTTAATTATTTTGGGGCACCTGGGTGGCTCAGTCAGTTAAGCGCCAGACTTCGGCTGAGGTCATGATCTCACGGTTTATGAGTTCAAGCCCCGTATTAGGCTCTGTGCTGACAGTTCAGAGCCTGGAGCCTGCTTCTGATTCTGTGTCTCCCTCTCTCTCTGCCCTCCCCTGATCACACTCTGTCTCTTTCTCTCTCTCTCTCTCCCTCTCTCAAAAACAAACAATAAAGAAGAGAAACGTAATTATTTTAAGAGAATTTCTTCCAAGAAAGAAAGAAAATAAAAGTCTTTTTAAAGATACTTGGTATTTGAATACTCATCAACAGATTCAATAGAGTAAAATCATTGAAGGGGGAAAGATTATAGAGCCTGAGATGGATAGAATTAGGATATTCCTAGAAAGTAAAACTTTAGAAACTGTGGTTGAAAACTGCCTCAATAGTGGAATATTACAAATGGTAGTACATGTAACTGCTATTCCTCAGCCCTCTTTTTTTTTTTTTTTTATTTAAGTGTAGTTGACACACAATGTTACATTAGTTCCAGGTGTACAACACAGTGATTTGACAAGTTTATACATATTGCTATGCTCACAAATGTAGCTACCATCTGCCACCATGCAATGCTATTACAGTACCATTGACTATATTCCTTATGTTGTACCTTTCATCCCTGTGACTTATTCATTCTGTAACTGGAAACCTGTATTTCCTACTCCCCTTTACCTATTTTTCCCATCTCTCTACCTCCCTTCCCTTTGGCAACCATCAGTTTGTTATTTGTATTTATGGTCTGTTTCTGCTTATTGTTTGTTTGTTTATTAGTTTTATCTCTTATTTTGCACATACAAGTGAAATCATAGGGTATTTGTCTTTCTCTGACTGATTTCACTTAGCATAATATCCTCTCTGTCCATTCGTGTTGTCACAAATGGAAAGATCTCATTCTTTTTAATGAATGAAGAATATTTTGTTATATATATAATTATACATATGTACACACATATTCATACCACATCTTCTTTATCCGTTCATCTATCAATGGACGCTTGGGTTGCTTCCATATCTTGACTGTTGTAAATTATGCTGCAGTAAACATAGGGGTGCATATATCATTTTGAATTAGTGTTTTTGTATTTTGGAGGTAAATACCCAGTAGTGGAATTTCTATTTTTAATTTTTTGAGGAACCTCCATACCTAAGTTCAGAATTCTTTTTTTTTTTTTTTTTTTTTTTTTTTTTGTCAACGTTTATTTATTTTTGGGACAGAGAGAGACAGAGCATGAACGGGGGAGGGGCAGAGAGAGAGGAAGACACAGAATCGGAAACAGGCTCCAGGCTCTGAGCCATCAGCCCAGAGCCTGACGCGGGGCTCGAACTCACGGACCACAAGATCGTGACCTGGCTGAAGCCGGATGCTTAACCGACTGTGCCACCCAGGCGCCCCTAAGTTCAGAATTCTTAACAAAAGATTTTAGTTCCACCCTCTGCTTCATTTTTAGGCCACGTTCTCCTGGCAGTACCCTGGGTTTGAACTTTGGAAACTATTTCTTATTTTTAGAATCAAGATGTTAAAAACCATCAAGGTCTTAGTTCCTTTCTGTTTAATGGTCCTCTCAATTTCTCTCTTTGGTCACATTTTACCGTAAGCAGCAAGAAGAAATCAAGCAGCACCTTCAACACTTGTTTGGAAATCTGCTTAGCTTGATCACTCCGTTCACCGGGGACATTTCTTACTTTCTCCTTATAGAAGAGAGATAAGGAGATAAGTGATAATGTTGCTAAGCTTTCTGCCACTACACAA